GGATAATAGATTCTTTTGTGATTAATAAAAAGTTATATTTAGTAACGAAGGATAAAAGGGTTTTTGTTCAACATAGTGCCGCTAGGTATTGTGAATCTAGACTGAGCGGCGACTGTACTTAATGCCTTTTTCTTTCATTGACACCCGCGTGGGGCTGATGAAATAGCTCCTGGTGGTTGTGAAATACCGCACTAAAAATAGATCATGCGCAGTCTACAAGAACGTTACGCTATGACAGTCATTTCCTTACTAAATGTAGGTAAGTAAACGAGTTATATTTGTATCAATATTATTTTGAACCTAAACTATTTTTTATAAATTAAAATGTTAAAATGTTAAGTTTGTTTGTTTGTTTCATTTTACGCCTTTTTCCAACAGTATTTCAGTCATATAGGCGGGTAGTTTCCTAACCATCGTTCCTGGAGAGTTACACCAGTACTAAACTACCTTCCTCCGCGCTAAACTACCAAAGCATCTCCCGGGGATCGAACCCACGCCAGAGAGGTAATTGGATTAGAAGTCATCGACTCTAACCCCTCGACCACGGAGGCGGTTAAGTACGTATCTATTTACAAACATTTCTTTTATCTGTCATAATGGTAATTATCTCTCCGTCTAGGGCCGAGGACCTGACCCTCAATGTCCGCGATTCAAGCCCTAAATCGTGTATACGAGTCAGCTCCGTATACTTCCGGGAGATTAAAAATAGAACGATAATGTCATTCTAAAAATAGACGGATGATCACATTCTCAAAATAGAACGATGATGTCATTCTAAAAATAGAATCCAATATGACGCCGCGCATGCGCAGTCGTGACGCCAAACCGGCGCCTATACTACTATTATGAAATTTTGAAAGAGGATCAGAGGTTATGAAGTCTGCATATCACAGATAAGCTGTCAAAGACCTTTATGCTACACATAGTCTGATATAGGAATTCAACTTTGTTGACATGTTTATAAGATGATCCGCAATGTTTGCTAGATAAAAGTTAGTATCGTGTCCACTTGATAATATGTAACACGATTTTTAAAGATTCTTGTTTTGCTTTACTCGTACATACATTTATCCTTGGTAAAAACGAAACTTTATTTCAGTCAAGCCTAGATTATTTTTACGAATGGAAGCTTTATATATATTGTTGAAAGACTAAAGTCATTGCTTTGGTATCAATAAATAAAGTACATAAATAACCATGTTGTTGAGGAAGTGAAAGATTATGAATATTTAGATGTATAAATATAATATTTTCTGCTTCAGGTATAGTCTGATTTAAATGACCTGTGCATTATGAATACATTATAGCACTGATTTTATTGACATGTACATTATGAATACATTATAGCACTGATTTTATTGACCTGTGCATTATGAATACATTATAGCACTCATTTAAATTTTCGATCCAGCTTCGACTATGTCCGCATAGTTTACGATTATTAATATGGAATATATAACTAGTGTCTATCACAAGGTGAAGATCCTCGTCACATCCGCAATACACAGTCGGTTAAGTAATTGTCTTATATAATTATGAGAGGTCTGTGGTTCGATCCCTTCCGCTACCATTGTTTTAGACCTATTCTTCATTTTTAGAAGTATATTTAAATGAAAGCGGCCAAGTGCTTGCAAAATTGTGTACACGGATATGAAACAAGTTAGAAACGCTGATTTGTCTCGTTTTGTATTGTATTTAACGGCATTGAAATTACATCTATTGATTTTAAACCGAATTAATTGTAAAAATCAATTCTGAAAAAAGAAGAGTATATAGACTTTAGAAAAATGGATGCAAAACATATTAAAAAGCAAGAATAACAACATATAAAACAATTGTCGCAGTTTACTCTAAGTATAGAGGAAGGATGCTGCTAAAGGTTCTGGGCTTGTGGGGTGCTGCAAAAATACAGAGACATGCTCTCAGAAAATATTTATTATCAAACAATATTAAGTCTGGCTCGCGCCATGAAAATCTTCAGTATAAGTGCGCATGCGTGAAAGTACTTAGTAATTAGGATTAAGGTCCGTACCAGTGGTTAGTACATACTTGTTAAGAGTGAACGAATAAAAGTAGATCTATGAATGGATCAAATATAGGGAAAAGGACAAAAATGACTTCACAAGATAAATACAGTAACAGATACAACAGACATGACACGGACATGTACATAATGTAATCTACGGTATACAATACGGGACATACATTGACAAACATCGTATAACATTAACACATCAATATGACCCTGCGACACAATCATTGACATTAATTATAGATAAATAATAATAATAAAAAAACATTGACATACGCGGTCTTTATTGATCTTAACCAAATAAATACTGCGTACACCAAAAATTTGTCATACATCTATGGTGGCTGATTTGATACACCTTGCGCGTTGCGTTGTCGATAGCGTAACTATATCGTCGCTAACGAAACGCGCCAAACGGCGCGTTGTCGCACTGACGGCTTGTCGTCCTGAAATTCCGACGAACTCCGTGAAAGTTATCACAAGAACTCCTGACATGTTATCATAAGAACTCCATCCTTCGTGTAATAGTTTCTCCGACCGACCGACCTGTTAATTTAAATCTATTGAGAATATTTAAGTTTTTATTTTCTTTAAAAACAGCATTTATTTTTCATCATGTGGTATGAAAAGAAATATGAGTGAGGGTAGCCACGAGTGCAACATGGTAATTTTCATACCACCAAAATTTTTCTGTTTATTATAGATCTATACACTTTTCTTTTGATATTACAATTTGAAAAAGTTCCACTTAAATGTTGGTGTATTGGTTCAAGAATTTGGAAAAAGGAGTCCGGGAAACACCGGTGAATATACGGAAAATATGTTTCACTGCAGTGAAAAAATAATTTCTAGAGTGAAAATAAGGAAACCAAGAAACACATTTTATTTTATCAATATTCCTCAATATTTCATTTATAAGTAGATTTACATAGTAAATTTACAGAGGATATTTGTTTGTTTTGCATATAAGCTTGAAATGGCTACGCTACTCCTGAAAATAGAATATCTGTTGTTCACGAATGAAATATATTTCAATCGTATATGTAAAACAAATAAATTTTCTTTTTAATTCATTCTTTTTACGTGATTTCAAGTATTTTTACTGCCTTTGCTGCGTAACGTCGCGCATTCTACTTTGATCACATCATGACGTCGCATCATCAATTTTGAAATCAGCCGTGTCACGACAAAACAAACATAATGGGTTTGCGACCAGCATCCGCGCAGTCTGATCAGTATCCATGTTGTTCGCTATCAATTTCTCGACTTGTAAAAGGGTTGGTAAGCGAACAGCATGGATCCTGATCAGACTGCGCGGATGCACAGGCTGGTCTTGATCAATGCTGGTCGCAAACCCATTATGTTGGTTTTGTCATGACACGGCTCAAATATTGTTCAATTTTGTTACATTTTTAACATGATGTATGATCACATCTTTTCTGAAAGAAGCAAAATTTAGTTTGACGTCATTAAATTTATTATTGCCTGTAATTCCATCTAGTTATGATATTCTTTTCATCCGCATTCAGATTTAGTCCGGCTACAGTGAAAATTATATTTTACAAATTTCACTAGATGTTTATCAGAATATAATCACAGTAAAACACTGGAAAGCATGAAATAAATTCATTTCTTTGTTTTATATTCATTTATTCGTTAATTTTCATTTGAATAAATATTTTTATTCATATTGACTAATAATAATTGTATCAAAAAAGAACAAAAAGACAAATTAAGGTTAATTTCCCTCTGACAAGTTATAATAATTTTACCGAAGGTGAAGCAAATGGCAAAATTAGGGTCGAATTGACTTGAGTACAGTTTGATATGAATTACAGTCAACCCGGCCCCAAGTTAACCCGGCCCCAAGTCAACCCGGCCTCAAAATTGGTCAACCCGGCCCCAAAATTGGTCAATCCGGCCCCACGGTATTTTTATTTGGTCAATGCGGCCCCAAAATTGGTCAACCCGGCCCAAAAATTGGTCATTCCGGCCCCAAAATATATATTTTCAAAGAAAACTATTCAGGTCATTTTGTTGTATGATGGAATAAAAATGATTTATTATTAATTGAATATTAATAACAATAGTAAAAAAACATGAACTGGCATAAAAGTGTCGGTAAATTTAATTGCGCCAATTAAGACATTAATACGCAATAGTGATGATGAATAATTATAAAACATCAACAATTATATGTACATCAACATTATTTCAGATGTGCTAATCAAACAGTTTAAAGCAATCAATTAACAAAAAAGGTATACAACTGTGAAAAACAAATCCTTTAAATAAGTTGGTAGTATCTTTCATGTTTATATTCGATCACTAATTTAAATCCGTGATTGTGGATATATTGTGCTCGACAGACAGGAGGCAGTGACCTGCGATACCTGTGATAGATGGCAGCATCTCTATAATTAATCTTACTTAAAACTGTTAATGGGAACACTTTAGTGTGCTTTTGGTCATTTCTTTTTTTTTTTTTTTTAATTAAGGTTTCTTTTCCATGATATGTCAGTAAAAAAGTTTAGTTTTTTCTTAATACTTTTGAATACAGACGTCACCTTACTTTCGCGACGATAAAAACATTAAACTATGCAAGTGTTGCTTGTGTGTTAATATTGCTAGTTTTTATTATAAAATAAATAATAAAAGATATCATCGTTAAACTTTTGATATTGTTTTTGTTGTTAATTTTATTTTATTTCTTGATAAGTGTTTATATTTTAAAGCAAAATAAATAATAAAAAAATGGGGCCGGGTTGACCAGAAATAACATTGGATTGGGGCCGGGTTGACCAATTTGGGGCCGGGCTGACTTGGGGCCGGGTTGACTTGGGGCCGGGTTGACTTGTACCGTTTGAGATAATCTAATTTCGGAATACCACGCCGTTTACCCATGTTGGTTCCCAGCATTTGCGCAAACGCGAAAATTTATCAAGTAAATCGGAAACCAATCTGCCAAAACCGATTTAGATGGGGGGTCAAATGTCAAACACTATCAAATTTCACAGTGTTTCTTATAAAAAAGAGTTAGTGATGTGGCAGTATTAAAGAGAGAGAGAAGAGAAACGACATTCTCTATCATTAATAACGCTATTGATTTATTTAACATTGCGATTTTGAAGGAATTATTCAGTAGAATCTACACACTGTTAAATTCACAAAAGATGGCTAGAATTCTTTTGCATCTGTTGATGCTGATTTCTACAACGATTCGAAGTTTTTGTTTTGAAAAGGATAACAAAGGTAAATATATTCCATATTTACTTGATGAGTTACAATATGTAAAGTATTGTTATTTTATAAATTTATGACATTTGATTTGCATTATTGAGTTTGGGAAAATACTGTAGATCAATTGTTCTCTTCTTCACTGCCATAGACAGACTAAATAGAACAGTGTACAAAGCTGATGCTACGTGACAACTAACATGTATATGTAAAAGGGGTACGGCTCATTGAATGTACATTTATACAAACATTCATACTAATACACAAACTATATATTAGTAGGTGTTTGGACTTTACACCTCCTGGATGTTTCATCCCTAGACGTTTCACCCTCAAAACCCTGGTCTTTTCACCTCCACTTTTTAAATTTGATAAATATATGAAATAAATACCATTATGGGTTATAATATTATATATAATATAACACATACTTGCAACAATTACATTCATGATATAAAGAAGATTTTTTTTACATAAATACAGTGAAATTTCCCTAGGAAAATAGTTATAAATATGAGTTCTGAAAGAATGATCAGTATAAGTCTACATGTATATATTATTTCATTTTTTTTGTTATCCAAAAATTAAATGCCATAAAAAATATTGATTAATTAAAATATGTTTTTATATAACAGATAAGAACAATTAGAAGTGTGAAAGATTTTTGAATAAAGCATTATAAACACTGGTTTATTAACTATTGCGTGCTTTTTCACATTCATATGGAATTGCTGAGTATTCTGTGTAAAGTGAATTTTAGTGAAAAGAGTCGACATTTACAAATAGTCACTTCAATGAAAACAGTGAAAAAACAAATGAAAACTTGCAAGGTTGAACTAGTGAAAGAGTACAGTGTACATATTGTATTATAGTAATCATAGTGATTAGTCGGAAATGTTTTATATTATTATAGATTTTTATATTTTGTATTATATACACAGAGTATTATATAAAAGAAAATTCAATGTTAGTTCATGTACATTTAATTTTATTAATGAATAAAAAAGACAAAAAATGAAGATGACAAAATGATAGTTGAATATTTAGAATAAAATATGATACCATTTTTATTTTCTTATTATTTTTTATAAAATAGGAAATAAAATTATATGATGAAAATAACAGTGTTTATTTTAATGTTATGTTATTGTATAGTGCATACATTGTAGATATAGTAATTGACTCTGAATAAAATTTCGTAAATCTGATAATTTTGTTTTTATCTGTTTTTCATACATTGAAACATATTTGGTAAATTTTATTTGAACAAGAATGTCATTTTTTTAAATAAAATTTCTTGATTATAAATTTCAAAAAACAAATATTCTCTCAATGTCTATCATGCAAATTTATATGGTATTGAGTTATCTCAATTATCACTCAATATAATCCAATTAAGGTGTAACAACTAAGGTATGTCAAACAAGTTTACTGATATTAATCCATACAGTATACAATATTATTTATAAAAAAAGTAGCCGAAACGTCTAGGAGGTGTAAAGACCAAAGGTGAAACGTCCAGGAGGTGTAAAGACCAAAGGTGAAAAGTCCAGGAGGTGTAAAGTCCTGAAATCTATTAGTATATATTGTGTAATGGGATTGGACTTGGAATTCATTTCTGACTTAGGATAAATGTTAGTCAAAATATAATATGAAATTAGGCAAAGCCTATGCACGGGGAAGTCGTTAAAAATTCCTTTCATTCTTTCCGTTTTAAAGGTGTCATTCGGTATTACATGCACCGCTTCCGTTTTCACTCGGAACACTCGACGTTTATTATTTATCCGAAAAGTTGAGATTTGTTCCGTTATCGGAATACCCCGCCTATTATCATTGAGTTACATTGTAAATGGCGGCGCCCGACTAGAACTGACACTGAAAATTTCATTGATAGGTATAGAATTCTATATATTTTTTAATTGTTTTTTATTTGATTTTCTTTTAAATATACACGTGTAGTCTATAGCCGGGCAAGCCAAAGCCTTTGACTTCCCCGTATTAACGTGCCAAAGCTTGATTCTGAGATATTTTCGTTCTGGGGCAGAATCTCGCTTTAGAGGCGAGATATTGCCCAGACACGAAAATAGCACAATATCTCGTCGCGCAGTACAATTAGTTGGACTAGATAAATGTTTTCTATCACAAAGATAATAATGAGATCAAAGATCAAATAAAGACGTTAAAGAAACTCAAACTTCAGTTGTATTATAGTAACAACAATGCACTTAAAAGATTATAAAAACAAACACAATGGCGCCGTCAATGTGTCAGTTTGAAAATACAGAGGGAGGAAATAAGAATGGGAGTGAAATATAGGCTAATATATAATAGCACGCTTTGTTTATATAAGAGAAATCTCCTATAGTGATCAAATTTTTTTTGAGCATATTATATGACATCAACAGAAAGAAATTAAATATTTGTTTACTAGCACCTTTGTGAGAATTATTTCTCCCTTTTCATGTTTTCATATATAAACACATAATTTTTGAAGTCTTCAAAAATAAGCTACATAATGCAAAGAACTAAAAAAAAATTTAGTAAAATAACTTCTTTATGCTCTTAAATTCATTGTGTCAACACCTGCCAGCATACAATTTATCAGTTATCAGAGAAATCTTCAAATTAAAATCTGTTCAGTGTTAAATAATTGTCAAAATATATAGTGTTTGAAATTAGCAGTAGTCCGTGAAAAATCTTGCGACAAAATGAAGTATCTTATATTATGTTTTAATAAACAAAAGTTAGAAAGAAGCATATTAATTTTTTTATAGGTATATGATTTTTATGTGATAAGCCTGATCGGGTATTTTAACCAGTTAAATTATCCTTCAGGTACAGTAGTATGGAAAAGAGTCAACTCGGCCCTATACCAACTCGGCACGGGTCAACTCGGCAAGGGTCAACTCGGCCCACTTTACAAAAATATATATAACGTATTACCTTTGCTTTGCATGTTGTTAAGGTAAATGAATAATAAGAAATATCTTATTATCATATAATTAAATACATTGTACTTCTGTCGAAATAAATATATATTTAGAAAAAAAAAATTGTTATTTATTTGTCTTGCAGATTTATAAAATTAAAATAGATCTACTAAAAATGTGTTTCCTTAGATGCATTTTGTTTGTAAAGTAATTAAAAAAAATGAAACAAAAACGTGTTTACTTAATATCATAAGCTTCTAATTAATTGCAGGTGGTCACTAATCAAATCTGAATGAATGCGTCAATCATAATTATCACCTAACTAATCGATATCCTTAATACACACACTGATTGATAATAATAGGTATTTAATTTTACGGTTAAACCTACCGCAAGTCAGAAATACAGTGAGATACACAATCGGTAATATTTACTCGCAATTCTGCTGATAAGAAAAGCCTGTCTGCTGCTAGTTCGGAAACTGTCAATTTGTGTATTATAAATAATTGCAATATTTACAATAAATAGTGATAACACAAAATTAAATATTAATAATTGAAAAGTGGTGCTGGAATAGGGCCGAGCTGACTCGGGGGCCGAGTACGTTTTAGGGCCGAGCTGACCCAGATTTCAGTAGTATACTGGCATGCAAGTATTTCCCATTAGGCATAAAAGGTGGTAGTTACTTAATATGATCATTCAATATGCTCATCAACAAAATTATTGATTGTTACACATCAATATTTGGCTCGTCACACAAATTATGGAAGTCGAAATATGTTCTTAATATAGAAAAACTTTAAGTAATGAGGCCTGATACGGGGTATCGAAATTACCTATTATTTTCTATGAAGTAAAGTGTAGTTTCCATAAATAAAGTACAACACATATAATAATTATACAATGTTTTAATATCTGTCATATTTTTCATTTATAATCTATGAAGAAACCCGGGTGAGAGGGCTGACACCAGACCTTTCACTCCCAAGTCTTTTCACTATTGTGATGGTTCACTCCCAAGATGGTTCACTCCCAAGATGGTTCACTCCCAAGATGTTTCACTCCCAAGACTTTTCACTATTGTGATGTTTCACTCCCAAGATATTTTACTCCCAAGACGGTTCACTTTCAAGATGTTTCACCCCCAAGACGGTTCACTCCCAAGATGTTTTACTCCCAATTATTTTCATTCGTTTTTTAGCTCACCTGTCACAAAGTGACAGGGTGAGCTTTTTGATCGCTTTTCGTCCGGCGTCCGGTCGTCCGTCCGTCGTCCGTCCGTAAACTTTTACTTTGACATCTCCTCATAAACCACTGAGCCAATTTCATCCAAACTTCACAAGAATGTTCCATTGGTGGTCACCTTTAAAGATTGTTCAAATAATTTAATTCCATGCAGAACTCTGGTTGCCATGGCAACCGAAAGAAAAAACTTTAAATATCTTCTTTAAAAAAAACCCATAAGAGCTAGAGCTTAGATATTTGGCATGAAACATCTTCTAGTGAGTGTCTACCAAGTTTGTTCAAATAAAAGCCCTGGGGTCAAAATTGGCTCCGCTCCGGGGGGTCATTGATTTTCCATATAAGCATATAGTGAAAACTTAAAAAATCTTCTTTTAAAGAACCCAAAGAGCTAGAGCTAAGATATTTAGCATGAAATATGTTCTAATGGGTGTCTACCAAGTTTGTTCAAATAAAAGCCCTGGGGTCAAAATTGGCCCCGCCCCCGGGGGTCATTGATTTTCCCTATATGCATATAGTAAAAACTTAAAAAATCTTCTTTTAAAGAACCCAAAGAGCTAGAGCTAAGATATTTGGCATGAAACATCTTCTTATGGGTGTCTACCAAGTTAGTGCAAATAAAAGCCCTCGGGTTAAATTGGCCCTGCAACGTTTGGAGGGGCGGTTGGGGAGGCCTATATACAGGTGAGCGACCTCAGGGCCATCATGGCCCACTTGTTCAAAGTTCATTGATTTTCCCTATATGCATATAGTAAAAACTTAAAAAATCTTCTTTTAAAGAACTCAAAGAGCTATGGCTAAGATATTGAGCATCAAACATGTTCTAATAAGTGTCTACCAAGTTTGTTCAAATAAAAGCCCTGGGGTCAAAATTGGCCCCGCCCCAGGGGGTCATTGATTTTCCCTATATGCATATAGTAAAAACTTAAAAAATCTTCTTTTAAAGAACCCAAAGAGCTAGAGCTAAGATATTTAGCATGAAACATCTTCTTATGGGTGTCTACCAAGTTAGTGCAAATAAAAGCCCTCGGGTTAAATTGGCCCTGCAACGTTTGGAGGGGCGGTTGGGGAGGCCTATATACAGGTGAGCGACCTCAGGGCCATCATGGCCCACTTGTTCAAAGTTTTGTCTTCCTTCACTGTGTACAATATTTGATTAGTCAAGAATGCTGTCTCCTCCGAAAACTCTTGTTAATTGAATTCATAGTTTGAGTGTATGAATTTGTTTTTCTTTTTTCAAGAACTGCTACTTGTGACCATAGCAACAGAAGAAAATGATGGTTTAAGAAGATATATAAGAAGTACAAAGAAGTATGACTTGGAAACAAAGGTAAATTCATTATAACATTCAATATTTATTATATACCGGTAACATGTTACATAAGATAAATGTAAATCAAGTAAAATAAAGAATAGTTAAATTGTTTCAGAATGCTATACTTGTTTGATATATAATATATTCACTCCAGTAACACACATATGTCATTCATGAAAACTTAACAAACATTTTGTATATGACTCAGTTACATTGAAGTGGGTTTTTTCCCTTACATTCAATTTGACAATACAACATTGTACTAAAGACTTTCTATTTTAAGTATAACTAACTATTACTGGTATGCTGTGAATTTTAAGTATTATGTACTGTTACGTTAGCTATAGTACACTATACAGTGAAGATTATGTACTGTTACATTAGCTATAGTACACTATACAGTGAAGATTTTGTACATGTCCAGTATAAAATAAACTTGTGGGGATCAAACCCAATCTAGGACAAGCCGTTGCTTTTCTTGAGCAAGAGGCTTTACACTCATTGCTAGTACTGGGTGATTCCAGGAAATGGATTTGAGAGTGCTTCAATAAGCTTATAGCTTCCAGCACAATCAAACTAAATTTAATTTGTATAATTTAACTTAAATAGCGATATATTGATGAACTTTTTAATTCGATATGTAATACATCTAATTTGCCAAAGAATAACCAATATTTTATATTTTCCTGTTCTGTTACTGATTATATGAGCTAAGAAACCTCTTTAATCAATATGTAAATATCTTTACAATCACACATAAATCTTAAGTTGTACCTTTGGGATAAAATAAAATTGAGAATATTTTTCCAAATAATAAAGTGTACCAGTCTATAGTTTATTATTAGTTGTATATGTCTGGTGTTGTCATTTTTTAGTTTATGTAAAGAGGTCAGAAATTAATAATAGATTTATCAAAGAAATTTGATATTTCAGGAATTTGCTCTGTTGTATATGAGATAAGAAATAATTGTGAGCTATTATTTCTCTGCAGGTCTTTGGTTTAGGTTTGGATTGGCGTGGCGGGGACATGACCAATACTGGCGGGGGTCATAAGATCAATATATTGAAAGAAGAACTGTCCCAGTATAAAGACAGAAGTGACTTGATTATTATGTTTACAGACAGGTATATATGTATATATCTTTAATATAATTCAGTCATATGTTGACAGACAGGTAAATATGTATATATCTTTAATATAATTCAGTCATATGTTTACAGACAGGTAAATATGTATATATCTTTAATATAATTCAGTCATATGTTGACAGACAGGTAAATATGTATATATCTTTAATATAATTCAGTCATATGTTTACAGACAGGTAAATATGTATATATCTTTAATATAATTCAGTCATATGTTTACAGACAGGTATATATGTATATATCTTTAATATAGTTCAGTCATATGTTTACAGACAGGTATATATGTATATATCTTTAATATAATTCAGTCATATGTTGACAGACAGGTAAATATGTATATATCTTTAATATAATTCAGTCATATGTTGACAGACAGGTAAATATGTATATATCTTTAATATAATTCAGTCATATGTTGACAGACAGGTAAATATGTATATATCTTTAATATAATTCAGTCATATGTTAACAGACAGGTAAATATGTATATATCTTTAATATAATTCAGTCATATGTTTACAGACAGGTAAATATGTATATATCTTTAATATAATTCAGTCATATGTTTACAGACAGGTATATACATTGTATATATCTTTAATATAATTCAGTCATATGTTTACAGACAGGTATATATGTATATATCTTTAATATAGTTCAGTCATATGTTTACAGACAGGTATATATGTATATATCTTTAATATAGTTCAGTCATATGTTTACAGACAGGTATATATGTATATATCTTTAATATAGTTCAGTCATATGTTTACAGACAGGTATATATGTATATATCTTTAATATAATTCAGTCATATGTTTACGGACAGGTAAATATGTATATATCTTTAATATAATTCAGTCATATGTTGACAGACAGGTAAATATGTATATATCTTTAATATAATTCAGTCATATGTTAACAGACAGGTAAATATGTATATATCTTTAATATAATTCAGTCATATGTTTACAGACAGGTAAATATGTATATATCTTTAATATAATTCAGTCATATGTTTACAGACAGGTATATACATTGTATATATCTTTAATATAATTCAGTCATATGTTTACAGACAGGTATATATGTATATATCTTTAATATAGTTCAGTCATATGTTTACAGACAGGTATATATGTATATATCTTTAATATAATTCAGTCATATGTTGACAGACAGGTAAATATGTATATATCTTTAATATAATTCAGTCATATGTTGACAGACAGGTAAATATGTATATATCTTTAATATAATTCAGTCATATGTTGACAGACAGGTAAATATGTATATATCTTTAATATAATTCAGTCATATGTTAACAGACAGGTAAATATGTATATATCTTTAATATAATTCAGTCATATGTTTACAGACAGGTAAATATGTATATATCTTTAATATAATTCAGTCATATGTTTACAGACAGGTATATATGTATATATCTTTAATATAATTCAGTCATATGTTGACAGACAGGTAAATATGTATATATCTTTAATATAATTCAGTCATATGTTGAATAGTTAAACTGTTAAAATTGTACAGACAGTTTGTATGTTTAAAATATGTTGTATTTACATGAATACTTTTTTTGTTCTACTTGTAATATTCTAAAATAATCTGATCATGAAGTGGTTGACATTATTTACTGATTTATAAGTTAAAGTTCAAGTTTCCTTGACAGTTCCAGTAATTCTGGATAAAGTGGATATCTTTATGTGTCAGAAAGGTTGTGGATTCACAATTACTGAAGTTATCTGTCTCTTGATACTTTAATAATAGTCATATGGTAATAGCCGTTAAATGATTGGCATCATTGTTTCTTTGTTATTAAGGAATGATTGTCAGGTTGAAAATTGTTAAAAGTTTTTCAAAATATGGTTACCTGAAACACACCCCAGACACATGGGAACTTTGTTACCTGGAACATATAAAAACTTGGTAACCTAAAACAAATAGAAGCTTGGTTACCTGGAACACATAGGAACTTGGTTACCTGGAACACATAGGAACTTGGTTACCTGGAACACATAGGAACTTGGTTACCTGGAACACATAGGAACTTGGTTACCTGGAACACATAGGAACTTGGTTACCTTGAACACATATGAACTTGGTTACCTGAAACACATAGAAGCTTGGTTACCTGAAACACATAGGAACTTGGTTACCTGGAACAAAAATTTGAACTTGGCTACCCAGAGTGAATAAAAACTTACCAAAAACAAATAAGATCTTGTTTGCTTGGAACACGGGTACCCAGAGGGAATAGGAACTTTGATGCTAGTACTATTAAATGTTGGGAATTGAGTCCGAAACCGGGTAGGGGAAGTGAGGATGTTGCATTTTCATTAAACTCTCATTTGTTTTAGACTCAAACAAAAAGAGTCTGCATTTTTTTGTAATTTTTTTTGTGATTTAAATTTCCCAGGAATACTTTTTTTCCTAAAACATGAAAACCGGAATGATAAAATTTACAAATTGATTTTCCGGGGAAATTTTTAATGTACAAAATTTTTCCCTTTTACAACTCCCCAAAATTAATTTGAGAAAATTTATATAATTTCAAAAAAAATAAAAAAAAAATAGATGGTTAAGGTAATTGGCTTGTAACTAAGTGCAAATATTTTTGGAAAAACCTATAACAGGATACAAAAAAAATATATATTAAATGCTTTTGAATATTATAAACAAAAAACATTTTTGCTGCATAATTGGCCTTTAAGGTAATTACTTATATAATATATTTGATCATTTTGTTTGTTTAGTTATGATGTTGTTGTCACAGCTGGAGCATCAGAGATTCTAGAAAAGTTCAACAAGTTTGATGCACGTGTAGTTTTCTCTGCTGAAGGATTTTGTTGGCCGGACAGGTCATTAGCGGTAATAATTACTGTTTTATATCTTTAACCTGGTGACGAAATCTAACCATTGTGACCAGTGTAGACCATTGATGCTAGCTCATTGTTGATTCCATTTTGATATGCCCGAAAGAATTTTGGGCATATTATGTTATACCCCCCTGGCGTCCGTCTGTCTGTTGGCATACAAATATGTCAAATCGGAGTCAAATCAGCTTCAATAAATTTTCAAAAAGTCAAATCAGTCCTAAATCAGTCAAGTTTGCCCCAAAATTAGTCAAATCGGCACTAGAATTACTTTAGTGAAACATCCTATTTCATGTTTATATTTTATGTCAGAGAACAAAATTTCAAAAAAGAAAAAAAAGATTTGATTTGAATTTAGTACTTCTTCTTTTGTAACTTAATACTTGACAAACTAAGGGAGATTATGAATGAGATTTTTTTTTTGCAATAAAAAGACAACTTTTGCCATTACAAAATGATATAATACTATGAACCATAAAGGGTTTTGGAAGAATATATCTGTATTTTCATGTTTGCTTATTGACCAGATATTTAATTTAGTTTTCAGAATATTTTTATTGTTGTCAAATAATTCATCTTATGACATATTTCTACTGTTGTATTAAGTGCCACCCAGCAAATGTTGTTTAAGTTTAAATAAAGAACATATGACAGTGTCACAATCAGATATAAGTTTATTTATAGAGGAGAATAAATTATTGTATATGACAGTGTCACAATCAGATATAAGTTTATTTATAGAGGAGAATAAATTATTGTATATGACAGTGACACAATCTGATATAAGTTTATTTATAGAGGAGAATAAATTATTGTGACAGTGACACAATCTGATATAAGTTTATTTATAGAGGAGAATAAATTATTGTATATGACAGTGTCACAATCAGATATAAGTTTATTTATAGAGGAGAATAAATTACTGTATATGATAATTATATGATTAAGATCTTGTCACATTAAGACACCAGCATGTGTTAATATTTACACTGACCATCTCTTCCTGGTCACATGCTGATACAGTTACACCAACATGTGTTAATATTTACACTGACCATCTCTTCCTGGCCACATGCTGATACAGTTACACCAACATGTGTTAATATTTACACTGACCATCTCTTCCTGGTCACATGCTGATACAGTTACACCAACATATGTTAATATTTACACTGACCATCTCTTCCTGGTCACATGCTTATACAGTTACACATGTTTTAGATTAACCTGGTGAATATTAATAATAGATTTACCCAGCTGTTAGTTCAATACATGTATTTAAGTGGATTGGTCTATAAAAGGCAGTTTTTCCCTACATATTTTAAATATAAAACAATAGAAAATTCTTACAAAATATTTCTTGAACTATTTATAGAAGTGCAGAAAAGAACTAAGAGTAGCAATAATTCCCCACCTGGTTGGTTAAGATAATTTATTAATGTATATTTTGTTTATCAGGATGAAAAATTCTTCTTGAACAAAGAAATGTTTTGTTGGTATGAATATTTATATAATGAATATTAATATTATGTTTTAGAACAATTAATCATCTGCTATATATATGAATATGTAATATCCAGTCATAAATCTCACTCCAGTACCTATAACATCCTAATATATTTAATTTGTGGTTTGTTGTCATGTATGGTATTAGATACCAACAACAATGTAATTCCTGGTATTACATATTATCCATTACGGACAAATTCCCTTTAAAGGCATAGCAGTATAGCTCTAACAATGCTTCAAATTATTTTCCTATAACTGTATATCTCTAACAATGCTTCAAATTTTTTTCCTATAAAACATACAAGTATATGACAGCCAATTCCCTTTAAAGGGATTTCAGTATAGCTTTAACAATGCTTCAAATTATTCTCCTATAAAACATACATGTATATGACAGCCAATTCCCTTTAAAGAGATTTCTGTATAGCTTTAACAATGCTTCAAATTATTCTCCTATAAGACATAAATGTATATGACAGCCAATTCCCTTTAAAGAGATTTAAGTATATCTCTAACAATGCTTCAAATTATTCTCCTATAAAACATACATGAATATGACAGCCAATTTACTTTAAAGGGATTTCAGTACAGCTCGAACAATGCTTCAAATTATTCTCCTATAAAACATACATGTATATGACAACCAATTCCCTTTAAAGGGATTTCAGTATAGCTTTAACAATGCTTCAAATTATTCTCCTATAAAACATACATGTATATGACAGCCAATTCCCTTTAAAGGGATTTCAGTATAGCTCTAACAATGCTTCAAATTATTCTCCTATAAAACATACATGTATATGACAGCCAATTCCCTTTAAAGGGATTTCAGTATATCTCTAACAATGCTTCAAATTATTCTCCTATAAAACATACATGTATATGACAGCCAATTCCCTTTAAAAGGATTTCAGTATATCTCTAACATTGCTTTAAATTATTCTCCTATAAAACATACATGTATATGACAGCCAATCCCCTTTAAAGAGATTTAAGTATATCTCTAACAATGCTTCAAATTATTCTCCTATAAAACATACATTTATATGACAGCCAATCCCCTTTAAAGGGATTTCAGTATATCTCTAACAATGCTTCAAATTATTCTCCTATAAAACATACATTTATATGACAGCCAATTCCCTTTAAAGGGATTTCAGTATAGCTCTAACAATGCTTCAAATTATTCTCCTATAAAACATACATGTATATGACAGCCAATTCCCTTTAAAGGGATTTCAGTATAGCTCTAACAATGCTTCAAATTATTCTCCTATAAAACATACATGTATATGACAGCCAATTCCCTTTAAAGGGATTTCAGTATATCTCTAACAATGCTTCAAATTATTCTCCTATAAAACATACATGTATATGACAGCCAATTCCCTTTAAAGGGATTTCAGTATAGCTCTAACAATGCTTCAAATTATTCTCCTATAAAACATACATGTATATGACAGCCAATTCCCTTTAAAGGGATTTCAGTATATCTCTAACAATGCTTCAAATTATTCTCCTATAAAACATACATGTATATGACAACTAATTCCCTTTAAAGGGATTTCAGTATATCTCTAACATTGCTTTAAATTATTCTCCTATAAAACATACATGTATATGACAGCCAATCCCCTTTAAAGAGATTTAAGTATATCTCTAACAATGCTTCAAATTATTCTCCTATAAAACATACATGTATATGACAGCCAATTCCCTTTAAAGGGATTTCAGTATATCTCTAACAATGCTTCAAATTATTCTCCTATAAAACATACATGTATATGACAGCCAATTCCCTTTAAAGGGATTTCAGTATATCTCTAACAATGCTTCAAATTATTCTCCTATAAAACATACATGTATATGACAGCCAATTCCCTTTAAAAGGATTTCAGTATATCTCTAACATTGCTTTAAATTATTCTCCTATAAAACATACATGTATATGACAGCCAATCCCCTTTAAAGAGATTTAAGTATATCTCTAACAATGCTTCAAATTATTCTCCTATAAAACATACATGTATATGACAGCCAATTCCCTTTAAAGGGATTTCAGTATATCTCTAACAATGCTTCAAATTATTCTCCTATAAAACATACATGTATATGACAGCCAATTCCCTTTAAAAGGATTTCAGTATATCTCTAACAATGCTTCAAATTATTCTCCACCATGGCTCTACTAACTGAGCTATCGGGCCGCTTGCACACTAACTCCGCTAAACAGTGAACAGTTCTAAACTGTGACATTCTCCTCCGCTATATTTAAATCATATCTAATATTGGCAATCTTCGGACAACGCAGTATCACTGGTTGCTCTTTTGGCATCATAGTTTTATAATGCACAATTGATTGTCTACATGCTTTTATTAAAGTCTTTGGATACTGTGTATTCGAACTATAATCTTTAATCATGCATTATTTAATCTTTGAATTTTGAATTTTAGCAGCTCTTGTTTAAATAAATTAATGATAACAAAACCTTGATATCATATGAGATATTACCTGTTAGTTTTGTATAAGCATTAAAATGATTTCTTTTTTTTTGTTTACAGAGCTCGTATCCTGATGTGAAATTACATGAGAAGAAATATCTTTGCTCAGGAGGTTTGCTCTTTATATTATTGTTTTACATTCTTTTTAATTTATTTGGTTAAATTTCTTTTCTTTTTTAGCTCACCTGTCACAAAGTGACAGGGTGAGCTTTTGTAATCGCTTTTCGTCCGGCGTCCGTCCGTAAACTTTTACTTTAAATGACATCTCCTCATAAACCGCTGAGCCAAAGAATTTAATTCCATGCAGAACCCTGGTTGCCATGGCAACGGATAGAAAAAACTTAATATATCTTCTTTTAAAAAAACCCAAAGAGGTAGAGCTTAGATATTTGGCATGAAACATCTTCCAGTGAGTGTCTATCAAGTTTGTTCAAATAAAAGCCCTGGGGTCAAAATTTGCCCGGCCCCAGGGGGTCATTGATTTTCCTTATATGTGTAAAGCAAAATCTTTAAAAAAATCTTCTTTGAAAAACCCAAAAAGCTAGAGTTAAGATATTAAGCATGAAACATCTTCCAGTTAGTGTCTCCAAAGTTTGTTCAAATAAAAGCCCTAGGGTCAAAATTGGCCCTCCCCAGGGGGACATTGATTTTCCTTATAATGTGTATAGCAAAAACTTAAAAATCTTATTTAAAAAAAAAAAACAAATAGCTAGAGTTTGGATATTAAGCATGAAACATCTTCTAGTGAGTGTCTTCAAAGTTTGATCAAATAAAAGCCCTGGGGTCAAAACTTGCCCCGCCCTAGGGGTGCCATTGCTTTTAACTATATGTGTATAGTTAAAACTTAAAAAATCTTCTTTTTTTTAAAAACTCAACGAGCTAGACCTTAGATGTTTAGCATGAAATATCTTCTAATTGGTGTCTACCAAGTTTGTTCAAATAAAAGCCCTGGGGTTTAAACTGGCCCGCTCTGGGGGCCTATATACAGGTGAGCAACTTCAGGGCCATCATGGCCCTCTTGTTTATATAAATTTGTGCACTCCCGTTTATTGTGTTTATGTATAAATATAATTATAGTCTTTAGCACAATTATCAAATCAGGTAGGTAATACCATTTACAATATACATGTAGGCTCATTTAAGTTTAATATATCACTTTATTTATTTAGCTGCATTTGGCAAAGTTGTTTTTGAAATTTGGAAAAAAAGGTTATTTACAATTATTTTGTACTGGGAATGGGACCTTATATCATCCCTTTGTGTTAATGCCAAAAACTTGTAAGTTATGACAGAACAGCCAGGTGAACAATAAATAAGATATTAGAAAGATTATACAGTTTAACTTTGTTTGCCCGAACGATCACTTGAATACCTCCCTTCACCCTTTGTTATTTTCAGCCATCAGTATTTCATAGGTTTCAATAGCTTTAATCACTCCAGCCATAAGTTTTCATTACCAAAAGACCCCTTAAAATGGAATTATTCTGCTCTACTACATATATATTCTTCCAATGAGCAAACACATTCGGCGGGGGATGGCCATGATAACATGGCTCTTGTTTTGTACTGGGAACGGGACCTTATATCATCCCTTTGTGTAAATGCCCAAAACTTGAAGTTATGACAGAACTGCCAGGTGAACAATTAAATCAGATATTAGAAAGATTATACAGTTTAACTTTGTTTGCTCGAACACATCTCCAAGTCCCGGCATATTTCCTATATAATATATATTGTTCTACCTCGGATCACTTGAACACTTATCACTTGAACTTGTGAACCTGGTCTCTGGTCCCTACGGCAGTAATATAGTGAAAATCACACCTTTTTGGTCAAACAAAAGTTGCGGGTCGACATGTTCTTAATAAGTGACAGTCGGCAACATATGTTTTAAACACATTGTGTTCATGATGAATGCAATTAAGGATAATTGATACAAAATAAGAGGTGTTGTATCCGATTAGTTATTTTAATATTGTTTATTTGCCATTTATGGTAACGATAAAAAGAAAATAACTTGTGAAATAAGTGAAATGTGCAAAAGTCGATAAAGAATGACGTTTATCCGGATGGCTTTAATTTCAAACGTGGTTCATATGAATTGTAACAGTGTAACATATTTATAGAATGATACTTGTATGCATGTTTATTTTAATAAATGACTGCAAATAGTTGCTGCTATTGAATGTTGTTGTTTTTTGGGTTTTTTTTTATTAATTCATTGTTTAAAATATAATTATCTTATAATAAACATATAATTATGTAACAAGTTTGGATATTGATTGCCCAATCAAACTCAACCAATTACAATATGCACACAGTTTACCGTAAAGACTTAACTTAAAACACTGGGATAATAATTCTTAATATGACGTATTCGACGAACAGATGCACTTAAAAACAATTATATTGATGTATTTATCATTCGACAGAAGTAAGCTGGAAAACCATTAGGCCTATGCTCTACATAATTATAGTTCAACCTCGGTTTGCACGAATTACGGATCTCTCGAACAAATTTGCACAGGCCCTCTGAGTTCGAGTGAACGAAGTTCGACTGTAGTTATATATCTTTATCTTTGTGCACATTGATTACAGCATAAGTAAAAATGTTTGTTTATTTTTATTTCAGGATTTATTGGGTATGCTAAGGAGGTGTATGAAATTATTTCCCACAATGCAGTAGCAGATAATGATGATGACCAGTTATATTACACTAAAATATTTCTAGACAAATCTCTCCAGGTATGATTCATATCTATGTACAAAACATTACCACTGTATAATGACAACAACAATAAAATCTATGTTTTGATTAAAGCTTCCATTGTTTTGTAGATTCTGTAGGGGAGCCGTATTACATGAAAGTCAGGTGCCGGTTCGTGCCTGAAATAATGCATGGAGCGGCGCCTGAGGTCTTCCTCCACCAGTAAAGCTGGAACGTCCCTATAGGACCTATACTTTGTTGATGTGACGTAAAACCCTAAACAAACAAAAAAAATACATGAAAGACAGAGATATTTTGGTATCTTGTCATACATTGGTAACTGTAAGTCAGTTCTTTGCAAGTTACCTGTGTTTATCAATTCTATTGGAGAGAGTTTACAAATAAAACAGGGTGCCCACGGTCAGGGAAAAGTCAGGGAAAAAATTTTTTTTTCAAGGTCAGGGAAAAGTCAGGGAATTTTGAAATTGGTCAGGGAAATTTGAAAGATAAGCAAAAGTCAGGGAAAAGTCAGGGAATTTTGTAGAAAATAATTTTTGTCAAACAGCGAGAAGCAAAATCAGTAAAAGCTAAGGCAGTTTCTTTCATTATTTTGGGTATCTTTCTTGTTATTTTTGATTATGAGCATCTGTTTTATTTTTATATTCTTTTACTCTTAAAAAATGATTATGCTTATGCCTGAAGATTTTGGATATTTTGTCATGAACAGTAACTAACTGATGAAGAAAGAAGCTAAAAGGGGTTTAAGCGTCCCTTGCCTCCTGAGCTGTTTATGGTTTGTTCTTGTGAAAGAGGCTGATAATCTGGCACAGGAGGCTGTAAAAGATAAAAATGGGCTTGCTTGTGAAGTCCAATGGCAAGTACAATGCTTCAGGGGCAAGGTCAAAGACAAGTAATAAAAGAATCCAGTAAAGATATTGAGAAACTTGAGATAACACTAAGTGGACTTCGATGAAGTACCAATCATATTTTGTGCCTTGCTGTGCTTTTGTACACATAACAATTCATAACTTTGAGATACTAACTGCCATAGCTAGTTTTACTAGAAGTATTATTAGCTTTTACTGCATTTTGCTTTTTATGTAGCCACTTTATTACCTGTCTTATTGTTTCTTGTCCAACACCAGTTTTCCATTGATTACTATCATATATTTTAGTAAAATGCAGGCCTGTTTTAGTCAATCCTCCATTGATAACACTGCTTTGTATTTTTAAGAGAATGAAACAACTTTTAGCATGATATGTATTATCAAATACTTTACATTTTGGATAAATGTACTCATACTTGCAATGCTGAAAGTAAACAAGACAAGTTGCTTATTCAATTGCTCGCAAATATTTTAAAATAAAGAATTGTAGAAAATAGGTTGGCTGATTTGGGGAGGAGGAGGTCGGAATGCATGTATAAAAAATACATTTAATGCTCTAAGATTGTGGAAACTTGACGCTGTTATTGGTCAGGGAAAAATGGTTTTGGTCAGGGAAAAGTCATGAAAAAGTCAGGGAATCTGATTTCTCTTCTTTGTGGGAACCCTGTAAAAAGAATAGTGATATTCAGTGGAAAATAAACACCAATTATTTTCTTTGTGTTTGTGTACATAGTGACAAAGTAGTCCATGGCCAAGTTGTTAAGGTCGTTCACCTCTAAGAACTTGCATGTCACTGCTGTGATTTTGGATCACTCCAGGAATTTTTTATTTATCATTTGAGTAAGCTATCAGCTAGCTTACAGAACGTCAGTGGTTCTACTTAGGCTAGGTGCCCGCTCTTGTCTGATAGGGCAACTAATGTTTTCCTCCACCAGTAAAGCTGGAAAATCTACAGATGACGTATTATATGTATTGTTGCATTAAGTTTTCATTGTTGTCAGTACGTAGAAAATGTGCATTTGTCTAAATCAATGTATTTTTTTCTCTTCTACAAACCATTGATTGGTAAAAGAATTTAAGAAGGTACTTATTTATACATACAATTTCAGGAGAAGTGGAATATAAAATTGGATAAAAGATCAGAAATATTTATGAACCTACATGGAGCTCTTGGTAATATATACATGTATTATGTTTGTAACACCTAGTCTTTAAAACTACATTTAATACATTTCCGTGAAGCTAAAACGGTTAAAGTGTGTTTGCAAAAGAAAATATCTTAGTGTTTGAAATTATTTTTGTCCAATAGGATTGCAGTATTTCAAATAAATCGTAACACATTTACTTTGATAAATCCAGTCTAGAAAATCGACTGTTTATAAAAACAATTAAAAACACTAAGCAGGTTAAAATTATTTAGTATGTATTTACAAAAATAAATTGGCCGCGCGGCTGTGCCGTGCCTGACCAAATTATTTTTGTAAATACATACAAATAAACTTTAACATACATACAAATAAACTTTAACCTATACATAATTGCTGTGTTCCGGATAGCGACTATAAAACTGTGACATAGCGCATACATGAGCTGATTAAAGTCTTCATTTGCATGTTAAAATTTGTGTACGGACTTTAGTGTTACCGTGGGGTTTTCTGTTTAAATTCCTAATTTATGAACAATATTTGATGAGATTTTCAACAATGCTGTTAAAGAGGTTAATGAAACTGTAGAATGCTTAGATTTTTAGGCTGATGGCAAAATATATTTACATATTTATTATATGTAGCTTTAACTGAATTTTTTATAGAAAATTTTTCACTAGATGATTTACCTGTAACAAATAAAATGTTAATGGCATTTTAACTTGCCTATGTCACAGTATAGAACCTGGTCATTATTTTATATTTCATGACTTTCGATTTAAAATTGTAAGTTAAAAACATGGATTTTTATTTGAAATTCAGTACAATTTCATATACAAATAATATGTAATTTAAATTACATTACTGTGTATTGAAGTGCTATTCAGAACTCACAGTGCTGTGATGTACAGAGATATGCTGTCTGTT